CAAATCACCAAGATGCAATTGCCTGCTTTCATAGTCTGCAACTAGTTCTTCAATATTATTGAAGGTCCTGAATTTCAAACACACACATACACACATACAAAGACAAGGCCATCAACAAAGAGCAATTATGGTTGAGATTTGAGAAGAAATAGAACCATGACACACTAGACAAACACAACAATTTGGCAATTTGAAAGAATTACAATGCTTTGATGGGTAAATCTGAGAAAGCAGTGGTAGTGGTATCAATGCTAAAATAGGATGTGCCCTTTCCTCTGTAGTTTGAACAAGTTTCTTCTATGAATACATGCTTCTTTTTCTCTAAGTGTTGAATGCTTCTTTGTGTGTATGCTTACTTCATTGCTTCTATATCTTGCATGTCTCCACACTTAGAATATTTTTTCAATTTTTCCAAGTATATCTTAACTGTGTAATCACTTCGGGTTGGAACACATCCAACGTGTATCACCTCGGATGCACTTCATCTCGGGTGTAGCCTAGGTGATCTTGGCCAACCGGCACTTCGGAAACATTCTTTGAATAATCAATAAGTATTGTTTCCTTACTTGTACTTGCTGTCTTTTATCAAGACCTCACCTTTTCAACCCTCCCAGGTTTGACAATCGAGTTAGTGATCTCAGGTAACAAACAATTCGAGTGTCCCTTATCTGGATACCTCGGCTTACTCTAACTTGTAAATTTTTCCAAAAATTTCAACAAGTGTCAAGCCTATTCCTGCTTCCTACCCCCTAATGTGAGCCTAAGTACCACTTATATTCATATTAAGAATGTAACTCCAATGTTTTGCTGAGGTTTGATTCAAACAAAGATTAGACGAGGTTTCCTACCTCAGTTTCTCTGCTAGTCTGACTAAATCAAACTTAGTTCAACTCTACTGTCGTGGCAAGTCCTAGTTACTCGTCATGTGTCATTTGGAAACATCGCCAACTTAGTTTAACTCTATTATAGGGCAAGTTGAGTTTAACTCTACCATATGATAAGTCTAAGTTATTTGTCATGTTTCATTCGGAAACATCGCCAACTTAGTTCAACTCTATCATATGGCAAGTATTATCTAACTCTACAATATGATAAGTCTAAGTTATTCGTCATGTTTCATTCAGAAACATCGCCAACTTAGTTCAACTCTATCATATGGCAAGTATTATCTAACTCCACCATATGATAAGTCTAAGTTATTCGTCATGTTCATCATGGGAACATCATCATAAGACTTTCTCAGTCCTATCGCACCGGTATCAACAATAATATATGAAAACAAAATCAAGCTAGTGTTTTATTAAAACATTGGCTAATTACATAAATCTCTAAAAAACAAAAATTAATGACAGAAAAACTTCAAATTACAAGTGTTCCAGGGTCTTGGCAACTCCTTTCCATCACTGTCTTCTAGCCGGTATGCTCTATTGCCGGCGACCGAGATGAGTAGGTAAGGCCTTTCCTAGTTTAGGCCAAGCTTGCCCTCCTTAGGATCCTTTTTATTGTCGACGACTTTTCTAAGGACGAGGTCCCCAACCTTGAACTCCCTTGGGTTGACCTTCTTGTTGTAAGCCCTAGCAAGCTACTGCTGGTATGCCCCAAGCTGAATTGCTGCTCTCTCCCTTCTTTCTTCCAACAGATCCAGATCTCGGGCAAGGAATGCTTCGTTGGTGCCATTCTTCACTCCCTGGGTTCTGATTCCAGGGATGCCAACCTCCAGTGGGATGACTGCTTCAGTACCATAAGCTATGGCAAAAGGAGACTCCCCAGTTGATCTTCTCGACGTAGTCCGATATGCCCATAGTACATTGGACAATTCTTTCACCCACTTTTCCTTGGCTGCTTCCAGCCGCTTCTTAATCCCATCCAAGATGGTCTTGTCGGATGCCTCTGCCTATCCATTGCTCTGGGGAAAGCTGGGAGTGGAATAATAATTCTTGATCTTGTACTTTGCACAGAAGCTTTTGATCAACTTACTATCAAACTGAGTGCCATTGTCTGCTACAATGGCTCTTGGAATCCCAAACCTGGTGATTATGTTCTTCCAAATGAAGTTCTTCACATCCACATCTCAGATTTTGGCCAAGGGTTCAGCCTCAAACCACTTCGTGAAGTAGTCTGTGGCTGCTAACAAGAACTTTCTTTGTCTAGTTTCCTGTGGCAGTTGGTCGTACTAGGTCCATGCCCCACTAGGCAAACAGCCAAGGACTAGACACTGGGTTTAGATTTGCTACTGGCTGATGTACTAAAGGTGCAAATCTTTGACATTTCTCACACTTCCTGACATAGGCTTCACCATCTTTTTGCATGTATGGCCACTAATATCCCTGAGATATGGCTCTATGGGCAAGTGACCTGCCCCCTGCATGGCTTCTACAAACTCTTTTGTGGATCTCATACAAAAAGTCCTCTACCTGAGAGGGATGCACACATCTCAAAAGAGGTCCAGTGAAGGATCTTCTGTATAAATGGCCTTCTGTTGACAAGTAGAACCTGGCCGACCTCAACTTGGTCTTGTGTGCCTCTCTTCTGTCATCTGGCAGCTTTCCATCCCTGAGGAACATCATTATTGCATCCATCTAGCTTGGACCCATTTCTACATACATTACCTCATACTTTGTTATCAGAGGCTCCACACTTGGTCTTGTCAAATAATTAACCATGATTGTCCTTGGTTCCCCTGACTTTATTGCACTAGCCATGTTAGCCAAGGCATCAGCATGACCGTTATCATCTCGGCTAACTTACTATAGCCAAGCAGCCTAACAACCTCTTTGACATAGGCTATCATCCTTTCACCTCGGGCTGCGTACTCGCCCATTGATTGATTCACAATAAGCTAGGAGTCACAGAAGACTATCACCTCATCGGCTTCCATTGTTGCTGCCAACTTTAGTCTAGTAATCAGTGCCTCGTACTCTGCTTCATTGTTTGAGGCCTTAAATCCCAAATGGATTGATTGTTCTATCATTTGCCCATTTGGCGATATCAAAACCACTTCTGCCCCACTCCTTGATGGTTTGAACTTTCTGACAAATAGGCAGAAGGAGTCACCGATGTAGATATTGTAGGGTTTTGGTTGCTCTGCCCTCTTCAGTTTTGCTGGCGTAGGGTCCTTTTGCCCCAGTTGTGTTTCTTTTGGTTTTTCTAGACATCCTAAGCCACGGCTCACCGGAGCCTGCCTTGGGATGGCACCAGGAGTGAACTCAGTCACAAAGTCGGCTAGAACCTGGCCCTTGATTGCTGTTCTAAGCCTGAATTCCAGGTCATATTGGCCCAACACCACTACCCATCTGGCTATTCTTTCTGTTACATCTCCATGCTACAACAGGGGCTTTAGCGAATGCTCCGTCAATATCACCATCTTGTGGGCTTGGAAATAGTGATTCAAGTTTTTGAAAGCATCACCAAGGCTAGTGTCAATTTTTCCAGGGGCAAGTACCTGGTTTCTACATTTGCTAAGGTTTTACTCACATAGTATACCGCCTTTTGTTCTCCCTCCTCTTCTCGGATTACCACTACACTCACTACGTGGTCTGAAACTACTAAGTATAGGAACAATTCCTCTCCAAGTATTGGATTTGACAGAAGTGGAGCTATTGTTAAGTACATTTTCAAGTCGGCCAATGCGACTTCACACTCCTCTATCCATAAAAAATCTGTGGCCTTTCTCAACAAACTAAAAAATGGTTTACACTTATCAAAACTTCGACTGATAAACCTGTTCAGGGCTACCACATTGCAGGTCAAAATCTGGACCTGCTTGGCTAATGTTGGGCTTTTTAAGTCAAGGATGGCCTTGATTTGATCTGGGCTTGCCTCAATACCCCTTCTAGTGACCAAGTATCCCAGAAACTTACCAGGCCTGACTCCAAATGCACATTTCGAAGCATTGAATCGGAGCTGATAAGTTATTAGCATATCAAAAACTACCTTTAAATCAGCCAGATGATTCCCAGGCTCCTTGGTCTTCATGACCATGTCATCAATGTAGACTTCTACTATCTTCCTAATCAGATGCTTAAACATATTGATCACTAACCGTTGGTAGGTTGCTCCTACATTTTTTAACCCGAAAGGCATTACCCTGTAACAATAGAGTCCATTAGGGGTGATGAATGTCGTCTTCTCTTTATCTGGGGCATACATTGCTATCTGATGGTAGCCTCTATATGCATCCAAGAAACTCATCCTCCTATGCCCTGAAGTGGTATCTACTAACTGATCAATCTTAGGCAGCGGGAAATTATCTTTAGGACAAGCCTTATTCAGGCTGGTGAAGTCCACACAGACCCTCCACTTGCCGTTCTTTTTTTTCACTACCACTGTGTTGGAAAACTAGGTCGGATAGTGTACTTCTCGGATGGCTTGGGCTTCTAGCAGCTTGTCCACTTCCTCCTCAACTACTTCCACATGTACTAATGTCGGCCTCCTTACCCACTGGATAACAGATTTAGCTGACCTGTCTTCGTTGAGCCTATGGCAAGTGACCTTGGGGTTGATGCCAGGTATCTCATAGGGTGTCCAGGAAAACACTATGTTTGCTCGTAAAAAAGCTTCTAACTCTCTTTCCTCTTCCTCGGCTAAGCCTGAGTCGAGAAGGAAGAAGCGCTTCCCATCATCTTCCTGGACCAGAACTTTCTTCAAAGCCTTCTCACTCTTGTCAGCTGGTTCTTTGTCGACATCATCTAGGACCTTCATGTCCTTGTCTTCAATTTCAACTGTTTCTACTTTTCGCACGTTGCAGGTGGACTTCATTGTTACCATGGAACAATTTTTTGCCTGCACTTGATCCCCTCTGACCTCCTCAATTCTATGTTCGATTGGGAATCTTAACAACTGGTGCAATGTTGAGGAAACAAGATAACATTGTAAGGGAATGTGGTGTCAATTACTGTAAACTCCGTGATTACCTTCTTGGTGCCTATCTGAACCTCCAAATTCGTGGCACTAAGAGGCCATGTCGGTGTTCCGCTGAATCCAACCATCGAGCTGTTGGATTATTCCAGATCATCTAGGTGAAGGCAAAGCTCCTTGTAACATCTAACATACATGATGTCACAAGAACTGCCTTGATCAACCAGTATGCACCTCACCTGGCACTCTCTAATCTTTAGCGTTATCACCAGGGCATCGTTGTGTGGATGTTGCACCATATCCAAGTCTGCCTCAGTAAAAGAAACCATTGTCCTAGGCTTCTTTTGCTGGACCTGATACACATGCTGTAGATGCTTTACCCTCTGAGTCTTCCCACATACATCATTCTCATTGACCTTTGAGTGAGTCATATTGATCACTCGAGGTTCATCTACTTGCTGCAGTGGCGGTGGTGGAGATGGTGTTGCCGGTGCATGCGATAGCCTTGCCGGTGCATGCAATAGCCTTGCTTGCTCTTCCCTTATCCCGGCCTCATCTACTAGGTCTCTCAGGTGACCCTGTCTGACCAGATCCTCTAAGTGTGTCTTCAGAACCCTACATCCTTGAGTCAAGTGCCTATCCTCATTATAGTAAGCACAATGCTTCCCAAGGCTCCTTCCTATAAACTCGCCAAGGATATTCTCTGGCGCTTTGTAATACGGTTGGTTACTGATCCTTTCTAGAACTTTGTAGAATGGGATCCTGAATACCATGGTGACTGCCTGTATAGCCTTCAACCCTATTTCCTGCCTATTGAAACTAGCGTTACCTTGGCCTTGCTTCGGCGAGCCGTTTCTCTTCTCCTACTTTGGTGCCTTTGCTCCATGTGTGTCTTCCTTTGCTCTGGCATATTTCTTAATTCGTTCCATGAGCTCCTCCATACTCTTTGGTAGAGTTTTAGCAAGTGACTTTCAAAGCGGGCATTCATCTTCCAGGCCATTTTTGAAAGATATGACCGCCAACTCCTGGTTGCATGTCAGTATTCGGTTGAACACCTCATAATACCGTTTGGCGTAAGCCCTGAGGCTTTCACCCTGGCTAATGTTCAAAGCCAGTAGGGGTTCTACCCCTAGTGGCTGCAACTTATTTGTTACAAACTTGGCTACAAATATCTCAGCCAGGCCTTCCCAACTCTTTATAGTTCCTTTCGGCAAATTGTGGAACCAATCCGATGCGATTTCTCCAAAGGATGAAGGGAACACCTTACACAGCAACTGCTCGTTCCCAGTATATAGTGTCATTGAGTTCAAATATAAACTGACGTGAAAGTTTGGATCGGATTTGCCATCGTATATCTGGAATCTCAGCATGTGGAACCTTTTTGGGGCCTCAAACTTATCCAGCTCTATTGAGAACGGCATTCTCGGCTTGACTGGAGATGTGACCTCGGCATCTTGTCGCTTCCTCTGGAGGTAGTCCCTCAAGTCCTCCTTAGTCCGTCCAGGAGCTCGGATGTCAACGGATTTCAACCTTTTTGGTGCGCTACACCCTACGTCGTTATGAGTACTCTTGGACCTCTCACTATTCGTTGTGTCAAAACAAAGCTTCTTACCAGGTCTTTTTACCGGATTTCATCATTGCTTGCTCTTCCCTTGTCCTGGCCTCATCTATTAGGTCCCTTAAGTGACCTTGTTTTACCAGATCTTCTAGATGTGTTTTTAGGGCTCTGGACCCCTGAGTCAGATGCCCATCCTCATTGTGGTAGGTACAATGTTTCCCAAGGCTTCTTCCCATAAATTCGCCAGGAATCTTTTTTGGTGTTCTATAGTCAGGCTGGTTCCTGATCCTTTCCAGGACTTTGTAAATTGGGATCCGAAACACTGTGGTGACTGTTTGTGCAGCCCTCAGTCCCGTTTCTTATCTATTAAAGTTTGTATTACCTCGGCCTCGTTTCGACGAGTCGTTCCTCTTCTCTTGCTTTGACGCCTTTGTTCCTAGCGTGTCCTCCTCTACTCTCGCATATTTCTCAATTTTGGCCATAAGTTCTTCCATACTTTTTGGCAGTGTCTTTGCTAGTGACTTTCGAAGCAAACAATCATCGTTCAGGCCGTTCTTAAAATATACGATAGCCACCTCTTGGTTGCACCCCGATATTCGATTAAAAACCTCATAATACCTTTTGGCATAAATAGCACTTATTTATGGCTTTCCATACTTGTGATCACCTTTAATCACTTTTGCAACCTCCCTCCTTTCTTGGCTTTTGCTTTGCTTTGAAAGTTGGTTCAAACTAGTTGCTTATTTAAAGCATCAGATTGAGGTGTTGTGCTTAATGGTTTAATCCCTGTAGGGGTTCATTACCAACGGCATGAAACTTCTCGCATGTCTAAAACAACTTTTGGTTTGATGTTTCTTTCTATTAGAGGACTTAAAATTCATCTTTGGACTTAAATTGTAAAGGAATGGTTGGTAATTAAAATGAAACAATAAAATTAAGGACTAAAAATGATGCCAGATAATAACTTGGTTGGGTTCAATTGGACGTTAATTGAACCCTTGAGTCTTGAATCGTTTCATACGCGCTAGTGATGTAAACGGTTCAAGAGTCATTGTCAACCACTTTCCTTGATCAATCCATGATAAGGAGGAAGTTTGAGAGTCTTTATTTGTTGCATTTATTGAACTTTCACCCTTTGGTTCATAGGCCATTGAATCAAATTTTCCACTCCTTTAGCTGTTTGATGATAAGGAGGGGTAAGTTGTGAAAACAACCCTTGAGAATACCCTGTGCTTGCTCTGTTTGCTCTCTGTTGCAGCAAGAAAAACCAGGCATCAGTGGCCGGCAGGCCACCTTTTGGGGACGGCAGGCCACCACTTCTAACCTTCCGACCACCTTTGTAAAATCAAGCAGTAGCTTTTTGAAATGGAACAGAGTTGGCTTTGAGGTGAAAAACAGTGCAAGTGTTCTTATTGTGCAACAGAGGCTTCCTGGCAGCAAAACAGTGTGCTTTTTGGGTGGAAATTCGCACATGCATGAGCACTCCTTGCTCCCCGGGGCTATTTAGTCTAAGTACTTAGCTTAGATATTTGTTATAATTAATTAGTTGTAGCTAGTTAATTTTGTAAAGTGTTGTAAATAATTAGTTAGCTAACTAGTTATTTAATTTTGTCTTGTAATTAATTAGTTAGCTAAAATAGTTTATTAATTTGTTGTTGTAATAGTTAGTTAAGTAGCTTAGCTAATTTATTCATTTCGTTTTGTACTAGCTAGTTAATCAGTTTAGCTATTTAGTTTATTCAGACCCTCCTACGCGAGGGCAATCAAAACTTGCAATAATGTGTATGTCTTCTAACCCCACGTCTTTCTCCATTTTATTTACTAGCTTGTATTGATTAGTTTAGGGCATCATGTTTCGTTTAGCTTCTCTCATGCCTTGCATCCATTGTTTTACATGCATTGAGCCCGGCACATCATTCTAACTTGCATTGTTAGTTGAATACTTTTTTGAAGACGTGCTTAGACCACATGCTATCAAATCCATTCATATGTCATATTAGTAGCCGAGCTTAGTAAAATTCATATCACATGCATTGCATTAGTCATATTGCATAGTTAGGATCATACATTTTTCTAACTTTGTCATCTTTTTTGGCTTGGAGTACTAGGTGAGTTTTTATTGTTTTATCATAATTGCATAACTGTGATTGTTTCCATGTCTAGCATGCTTGCCATGAGGCTAAGTGCTTAAATGATAAACTATTTGAATGCCTATGGATGAAGGCTAATTGCTTAAATTAGAATAATTTGAGTAATGTACATTTGAGCCCACTTTTTCAAGTGGTACATATTCAAAACAATTTTCAAAAACAAACATGAATCAAGTGTTCTAATTTTTCCAAATTAGTCTATACTTGTGTGTTTGCACATAGTAATTCTAGCCTAATAAATGGAATAAGAGCATATAATGTAAATAAGATTCACATCATGATCAGTAGAAGCTGATCTTTGATCAGGCAAACGGTGGTGCTCAATTCATAACCTTTCCCTCTCGTACCTAAGTTCTTGAGCCAAGACAATCTTGGTGATGACGGACATGTGGCCTTTGGCATGAGTCATGGGTTTCCTAATTTTTTCAAAAATATTTAGGTGGCGACTCTGTATCTGGCAAAGCAATCCATTTTTGACAATTTGATTCAAAATCGATTTTCCAAAAGATTTGTCGGATTTGGACTCTATGGTGTTTATCTATTTCACATTGCACTTGTGAGATCAAATTCAAAATCACGGGAGTCCGATACTGCAGGGCTTTTTCGTCTTCCGAAAGAGGGCACAAAAAGTTGAGCTACAGTTTCTGGCGACTCTGCTAAGGAAAGATAGAGAACTTGACTTGAAATTCATTATGTGAAATTTTATCTACACTTATATGTTTCTTTGCATTGCAGTTGCATTGGTGCGCTTAAGTCACTGTGTTTGCCATCTGCTATTCTTGGACGGTTTGCCGAAGGCTTGCCTAAAAGCTTGGCAAAAGGCTGACTGATCGTGGGCTCTACTATGATGGGAACACAACCCTTGGATCCGGACTATCGTTATGCCATTTGATCCTCCTTTCACTTCTCGGTGTTAGGTGTGAGAGGTATATTAAGTAGTCTTGCTGAGGTACCCTCTTTGACCATTTGGCCTAGTTGCATATCGAAAAGCCATAGAGACTGTTCCAAACTAGGACAAGATGCTTGCCTCAAATGCAAGGTTGTGTGAAAATCGCTTTGTTTGAATAGTGAACCCTAGTTCCTGACGAAACTAGGACAGGGTAATTGTAGACACCCCATTTTTGACCGCCCTTAAGACTTGGGCACTACTGATGGTTTACTTGGTGGTGAAAGGTGTGCAGGTCAAAGGTTCAATTTCTTCGGCAAGGAGAGAGTCAAATACCAACTTCATACCCCTTTTGGACCAAAACAATCTTGATCAAAAAATTTTAGACCTTAAAACCCTCTCTTTCAAAATGTTTTGGAAATAAAATTCCTATGATATTTCGACGCTTGCATTTCGTTAAATGTTATGCTTTTCGGTAAACCGAGCAAGGACAAAGTGGAAATGAATGAAAGAGAGATGAAATCGTTGAAAAATCTTTCAAAACACCTTGTTTAGGGGTTTGGAGTTGAAGAAAAGAAAAAAAGAGGGAAGAAATCCAGTCAGGGGAGAAAATGGGCA